CTTGAGCATGGTTTGTGGAAACTTTGTGACATTCTGCATCTCCCACTGCACATTCTCAGTTCACACTGGTGAGACAGAGAGGTGGTGATGGTTTGTACAAATAAGGGTCTCGGCATTTATTAAATGCTTACTGTTGTTTGCAGTTGTCTTGTAACACTGTTTTGAGCACACAGTCGGATAATGCTTTGTAATTAAACAGATAAATCGAATCACCTCACTTGGTCATAACAGCAGACAAGTAAAATGCTCAGCTTTGCATATTGTTACACATTTTAGCATGAAGTAAACTGGCTCTGCAGTTTCCCTTGTGTCTCTTAGGGAATTTTAAAATATGATGCAACAAAATGTAACACCCTTATGCAACTTAAGTGGTGTCAATGTTTATCTCATCGGTTGTCAGGAATAGATATGGCAGCACCTACTTGTGACATACGAGTTTTATGTTATGATACACTTCTTTACTTCTGCTCTGCAAAATAAGCAGCTGGTAATGCTGAATAGATGGGCTAGAGGGATATTGTCTATCCACTCCATTAACCCTCTCTCTTCTTCTCTGTGTCCCACACAGCCACGCATTCCCAAATCATGCTTTTGCATAGTCTGAAGAAAGCCAACTACCAGCTCCCGTTGCTCATCACTGACTCAGGAGTGCCACCCTTGTCTAACAACACAGAGGTCAAAGTTAGGGTATGTGTCTGTAAGAAGAACAAGATGTTCTGCAGCTCTGCCCAGTCCCACCGCACCACCCTCCTCGGACTAATTGCGACACTCCTGCTCTCCCTACTCTGTAAGTACCATGGTAACCACAACACTCAGCAAAGACAACAACGGAGAACTTGAGGTGATGCTTTATTTGCTAGTATCCTGGTTGAGATGTGGATTAATAGTCAAGTAATATGATATGTGGCTTCCAGTTTATCATTTGGTTCAATCCATGCAGACAAACTATCAAATTGTGCTGACCTTTAGGATGAAAAAGGAAACAACTCATTTTAAATAGTAAAGAGCCTAGTTAACATGCAGCACAAGTGTCTTTCTGTGTATATCTATCTATCTATCTATCTATATATATATATTAATGCTGGGCAACGATTAAAATCCTTAATCGCGTTAACTGCATGATTTTTCTGAGATTAACTGCGATTAACTGCACTGATATGAGCAGTATTCAATAATGAGTTCAAAAGTAGTGTTTTGTACACTTGTATTTTAAAAGTACTACTATATGAACAAAAGTGCAATACATTTGGTTTGCAAACACTTTAAACAAATAAGGTATTTTTTAACAGAAGCATTCCCTTTACAGAGTAGCAACAAATCTCAAATGATGTAATCAAGCTCATATCAAGGCACATCAATCAAAGCTCATAGGTGCCGTCATTCATTACGATCCTAATAATGTTCCTCAGACCAACATCTTCCACAGTACTAATTGGCCTGCAGTTTGTAGCTATTAACTTAGCTATGGCATTTGTTAGTTTGTCTTGCTTTTGTTTATCTATACTTCTCCCACACGCTACATCGGGTAGTCTGCCGAAGCCTCCCTCTGCTATTTGTTTGGGTGGGTGATTTGCTGGCATCAACGGTGTGTATTGTGTTGGACCCCCGTTCTTTTCACCACGTTAACTCTGAGAGATGAAGCAGTCCGAGTAACTTCAAAACAGTGCTGATTTATTCAATGAACACAGGTAAAATTAAAATTACACGCTCAGGAGTCTTTGCACCTCCAACATGCACGCAGGCAGCTGGAAGATGAAAAACCCTGAACCATAACAGGCCTATACATTATATCACTTTGGGCTAACCCCATACTACTCAGGGACGCCAAACCGTGACGTCTCCCGGT